TTGGAATTAAAGTTGAATTATATCTCATCAATTCTCAAAATTTAATTTAGAAATGAAAGTTATCAACTTAATTTCATGTCGACTTTACAAGATGAAGAAGGAAGAGTATCTTCGGAGGATACTATAAATTTAATTCATAAGTCTTGTATTACACCGTCATCGTCGGAACGCAATTCTATCAGCGAAACTATAAATTTCGCGAGAAAGTTAACTGGAATGATCTGACGATGTTCGAAATATAAAAAAAAAAAAAAAAAAAAAATTTTAAAACTTTATTTTATATATTAGTTGATATTTTACATATTGATTAATTGAAATTTAGAACATTTTCACCACGTCTATTTATTTTTTTAAATTGATGTAATGTTTCGTGCATCTTTTACTAAATATGATATTATGGATTTCTAGAAATAAAAAGTTTGATTTGTTTGTGTTTCACTACATTAAGATTGAGAAATTTCTTGGCATTATTGCATTTTTTTGTCATTTACAAATGATAAAAAAATTTGTATAAAAACCTACCATTATTAAAAATTGTTTTTGTTTTATAAAAAAAATCCTAATATTTTAAATATGCAAAAATTAAATTCTAAACTTTTTTCATTCAATTCAAATCCACTAAATCCCGAATTGCAACAATTCGCAATTCTTCTGCTTCTCGTATCGAGGACTCAATGGGATCATTCACAACCAATATATCCTATTTTTTTTAAATTTATAAAAAAAATATTTTTTCTTTCTTGAATAATTCATAATAACATGAATTCTTCAACTATAATTTATGCAAATATAATTTGCATACAAAGCGTCACAACGCTTACTGTTGTAGCATGTCGGTTATGATATGCTTGATCACCGAATCATCTTTTTTTGTATTTTTATCATATCGTGTTTATTTTCATTTACGAACGATGGGAGAAGACCTATCATAAGTAGTTGAGCAATACAACTACTTACGTTACAATACATTTGATCTCGTTTTTGTCACATTTATTTCCCGGTAATAAATTAAAATTTTTATCATTTCCAAATTTGTTTTTCTCTTTGTGCTTGTAATAAATTTAAATTTATCAATAAAAAATCTCATTTTTATTACCATATAATTATAAAAACCTTTTTTAAACTTATCTTTCAAAAATGTTTTTTTAAAAGGACTATGTTGAAAAAAGGTGATCACTGAGACGACTCCTAATCACTTATTATATTATGTTTGAAAGTTATGGTGTATAATGGATGCATTATAAATGTAGAAATAGTTATAATAATTATAATAGATATTAGCTATATTATCTTTATAATCTTTTTTATTATAGTATATTTTTTTCTTCAGGCCGTGTTATAAATATATTCTTACTCTCATTTTCTAATCCTTTCTACTACACTCTAAATCATCATTTTTTATAAATGGGCGCT